TCAATCCATTTAATAGTTGTCAAGACATTTCACTAAAACCTGTGTAAGTGTTAACCCTATGGTAGCGCTAGATGCTAGGGAATCAATGAATCACCAAAGAAAGTCAGGAGGCATGAAGAGAAGGGATTCATTCTTTTTATCACTGACAGTCAAATAATTGACATTGAGATACACATAGGATAAGCTCATTAAAAATACTAAGAGACTAAACTTGAAGGGGATTTTCATTATTCCACCAAGAAAGTCACCAAGGTATGACTGTTTCTGAACTGTGTATCCATGTCTATGTTCAGGTGCTCTCTTGACACAAATCCATAAATTGTGAAGAACACCTTTGTGACTGAATGGCCTAATGACTCCTTAGCTCCCAAATCTTGAGAGGGGGTCCTGCTGGTGATGGTGTGTTGAGGGATGGGTGGTGGTGGTGGGTGGCATAGATATCCCACACAGGATTAGAGCCATGCTGTTGGAAGAGGAGGTGGGGGAAAATGGAGGGAATGCCCCAGAAACGCAACACCACCTGACACGTATGGAATGGACTCTTTGCAGCTCGACTAAAACATGCCTGCCAGAAAGAGAGATCTGCAGAATCCCATCTTCTCCATGGCCAAGTATTTAGCCTGTGAAACAGAGCTGTGCATACTGAGCACGTGTGTATACTGTAACATGAGTGATGTGCCACTCCATATCTTATCTTTGAATCTGGACTTTAAAATGGTCTACTGTAGTTAAAATGTACACGAGCCAATTCTCTGAGACAATGTGTTTTATTATTGTACTAACTTAGTATGATATAAGTTCATACAGTGTTTTAAAGCAATGCATTTTCCTGTGGCAATTATGGATAAATATGTTGGTTGGTTTATGAGTCTGGCTAATAATTTGGTCTAGAACAAGATATGAATCTTGACAACTACTACCAAAGGGGTGCCTTTGGACATTTTCACGTTTTCTATTTGTTTCTTTAGCTGTACTCGACAGCTCACTCTGGATGGTTGGTGGTCATGCGCTGTAACCATTGGCTTACCAAGGCACTCCACACTAATTAAATAATTACATCCATAAAGCTAATATGAAACATTTCCTCTTTACCAGAAACTTGAGCTCGCACTGAGCCAGTAGGATCACCAGCTAAGATCAACCAAGGGGGAAATATACAACCAAACCAATTCATGCTAACACTCCAACATGAGAATTATATTTCACTACCTAAATCAACAACATAAAAGCATCATAATGTATGAAAGAGGGTGGGCCAAGTACTTATAGTTGTTACACCAAAGGCCACAGTCGAAGCCAGGGTGATAATCAGTCAAATGAGGGACAATCTTTGCTCTAAGGCATTCATGGGGTTGCACTTGTTTATACACACGAAAAGTGACAGAAGTTCTCAGTACAAGAACCAACTGACCAAAACCAAAACACTGACACAGAATATGCATAATAGCACGTCAGCAAAAACCTTGCTTAAAGAAGCGCAGCTGAGACCCCCGGCATCTACGTGAAGGATAAACTGTCCAACACAGATGAGAAAACTCTGGCTTCTCTCTTGAAGTGTGCCTTTATGGCTCTCGGCTGATGTGACAAACCGAACAGAGTCACGGAACATTAGCGAAGAACGAACAAGTTATTTCTTCTAAGAAGCCGCCTTGAAGTGACACGATGTGGATGTTGACAGTCAAGGTTGCTTATGAAATGTTTTATGAGCAGCAGCAGCAAGTACCAGTTGCAGCAGAGGGCATGGCTATAGTATATAGTATACCTGACTCAAATTGTCTGACAAGCGTGCTCACAGCTTTCACTTTATGTATAAAAATGTAACACAGGAATAAGCAGAAATAATTAGAATTTATTTCTTTAAGAGAAGTGAAAGCGCCATTATACAGTACAGGTGAGGAAATGGCATTGTGATCTCAAGAAATAAAATGAATTTACCATTGAAAATATCAAGATACATTTAAGAACCTACAGAAAGCAAACGTGATATAAATTAAACACCATATACTAAACAGCACAAGGCAAACTGTATCACAGATTAGCAACTATCTTTTATATTTTTAAATCTGTAAATAATCTTTGTATTTGGTATTACTGAAGGAAAAAGGTGAGGGTGACAGGAGAACAGATATTTTAAAAGTGTCAAAATTAAAAATGCCCATAAACAACATTGTTTCCCTGAAATGACACATCTCATACACAGTCAGACATATCAAGAAAAATCTGAACATGCAAAATCACCAACTTACCACGATCCACACAAAAACAAAACAAAATGCTTCACACTCATCCCAGAACTTCCCATGTAAGCACTCAGTCATAATATAGTATAATGTATGTGAGCCAGAAAAACAACAACACAAAAGAGATCTCCAGTTATCTACTACACAAAATAGGTTTGTGTCAGAAGAGGCTGCCACAAGATGACGGCACCTCAGCACATTTTCGGTAACACAAGGCTTAACTTCAAGAGAAACATTTCTCCTGGCAGCTCACTTAACCCAACATGATTTCAAACATAAACACCTCTGCATCCCCGGCCCTCCAATATTCAAAAGAAATAGCCTGTGCAAGACCTCTGACTTTTTGTAATGCTATATTTTTCATAAACAAATGCACTTGATATTGGGCCCTATTTTACACTGCATATGCGCAACACACATACGTTAAAACATTTAAGCTGTTCAGGATCAGGCTGGCTAGAAAATACCCCAGCATGCATTAAGCAAAAGGCTAGGAAACATCAACAACATATATTTCAACCTGTCTGTCTTTGGACTACTGAAGCAAACTCTAAAGCTTCTTTGTATGAAGTCATAAAAACTTCTTGAAAAGTCACTATCTACAATTTCTTGGTGACCAAAATCTATATTAGGATCTGGTGATCACAAAAATCTGAAACAGAGAACCCATGTTTAGCAACCACGCTGGTTTGTGATGCTTTATATGCTTTGTGTGCATAGCTTTCTATGAAAGCAGCACTCAGCATGAAATCCTGGGTTCTGATCCACTGGTTAACAGGATTGTTTGTGACTGGAGTTTCCAAGTTTTCTCCATGTCCTCCCTTAATGCTCCTGTTTCCTCCCATAGTCCAAAGACTTGCAGGTCAGTTAATTAGAAATTCTGAAGCCGCATTCGGACCAAATCAGGCATTGCAACAATTACTGCAGTGTTGTGCGGTGGTATTTATTTGGTGTATTGGCACAAACCAGAGATTTCTTGGTATCTCGATTTTGCAGCTTACACTGCAAACCAGATGCAGACCAAAGTTGCAAAGTCAAAACTTAGAGAGTTTGATCCATGAACTCTGCCTGGATAGCAACCGGTTTCAGCTGTATTTTTAGGCTGACTGGTGTTTTTGCCACAATGCTCACTTTGGTCTGAATACAGCCAAACATCCCTTTTCCACAGTGGGACCTTATCGAAATGTAACACGCAGACTTTTTTCTCCACTGTTCTCTATCTGCTTTGTGTACAAGCTTCTGGTCAGGAGGTGATCCTAAATCCAAGTTCCAGCTAATTTCAGGGGTTGACGCCCGCTATTGAACAATTAGATGTATTATCACATCACAACAAGAATGCCTACAAAAAACACAACAGCAGCAACTACCATTTTACCACTGTGTCTGTACCAGGGGATACTTAAAAAAATGGTTGTTGGACAAATGACGATGTCCAGGCCATCATTAGTATTTGGGGAGAGAAGGCAGAGGGAGTGTGAGTCAGTGGTTAGAGATTAAAAAGTGAACCAGAAGTAAATTCTTCCTCTCTCTATTGGTGCATAGACTCGTATCTCAGTCCCCATCCTCTTCCATTGTTGGCTTGAACATACTGGGTTGCACGAAACCAAACATGCATGGGGATCATTAAGAAAAGCTTCCAGTGGCAACTGAACAGATTTTGACTGTAACATCACCTGTAAGCCTGCATGATTTACATTTACAAAACCTGGTATCTAAGCCTCACAAAGTTCCTCAAAGTTCAGGTTATGAGAAGCTCCAGGTTTTGGGCTGTCACTTGCCAGTAGGTGGGAATGTGTTGTTCTATCATCTATTCTTTGCCTTTGAAAACAATCAATGTGAGTCAATGGAAAAGTTCACAACCCCACATCCTGTGAAACAGCAGACACTAGAAGTGTCAGGTTTGTAAGGCGGATGTAAAGGAGAGATTGGGGTAATGGGTGAGGGGCGAGAGCCTGTTGCTTGAACCCATTCTAACCTAAATGCAGCGGAAGTGTCTGTGACACAGCGGCTGGTGTGTGGTTACCATACAGACTGGGCCTCAACATTTCTCAGCTGCCTCTGCAGGCAGAGAGAGAGCTGGTCCATTCATGGGCTGGACAGCCAGAAGACCAACAGTAACTTGAGCATCAACACTCCTTCTTTTCTTTGTCCAAGACCCAAACTCACTTCAGACTTGTCTCGTCTTTCTGCCAGGGCGTCCTTACTGAGCAGCAGCCACGCTATCTCCAATACACTGTATTTGTGATTTCAGCTTGGGGGTTATCCCAGGATATTTCACTGCTATTAAGAGTCATGCAGAAAGAAAGTGATCTGAGTTGCAAGAGGAAGCAGGGAAAGATCTGTGTCACTTCTGCACACAATCGTATTCCCGGAAAACAACATCACATTTCATCAGAAAATCTACCCTGCTTAAAAAAAGGTCAGCTCAAACAAAGCCTCTTAGAGCATTTCATGATCATGGAAATTTTAATATCATGTTAACCATTATTCTTTTTTTCCCTCATAATATTTATTTGTACACAATGCAAATGTAGACCAAGCTTACAGATGAACAATCCATCTTGCAAGGCTTCAATCTATGCGTTTGCTATGGGTAAAGTGGTACCAGACCAGTCATCGTCCTTTGAGGAAGTACTGGCAGCTATGGTGTTGGCCGCTAGGTGTGACGCAGCAAGAAGACTGTTCGTTAAACAACAATGGTGGCGTAGATGCTGCTAGCATCAGTTATATCAGATGTGGAAAGTATTTCTTCATTGAAAAAAAAAAAAACAGCAAAGCACGGCACTGAAGGCTTTTCTCGATGGAAGAGATCTTTCGCTCTTCTCCCTACTGGCTTCAGTAAGAGTTTGACTACGTTATATGGTTCGTTGATCTGTCCTGTGTGGTTCTGTGTAACAAACCATATGGAGCAGTCAGATTAAACTCAGTTCACAAACCCTACCATCACACGGAAATCGAAAGGTCACGTGAAGACTTCAGTCAGCTTGGCTGTAATCATCGCTGCATGATTAAGGTTGGTTGTTTGTCATTGTGTTGGCTTTTAAGGAGTAGATTGGTGTAGAATGATTTTCACCCAAACTCTATACTCACAGGCATAAAAAATTGCACTGTTCACTGCTGCCAGAGCACACTGATCACAGATTAGCAGAAGGCAAACAGAAAAATGGAGGGAACACATCAAAGAGCTGCTGATTGTGCTCCAGAGAAGCCAGCCACGGCTTCTAAGGAACAGTGAAACTTCACAACTTGTGCACAGCAGCTGTTTTAAAAAAATCTTATGTGTCTCATTTATGTTCTTATGTCACCTAATTTCAACATTTTTCACAACTAAAATAAATACTAAGAAGTGCCATGCATGGTGCAGCAGTGTCTCCAGCATGTCCGGCAAGCAAGGGGAAGCTCTCATAAAATCGAATTATAAAATGGTTTTTAGTTTTTTAAATCAATGTGCAATTTGTGCGTTCAATTGGTAATTATGGCAGCTAACTGTTTGCACTCTGTCGGGATTTGCATAACATTTTGTATAAATGAGATGTAAACTGCAGTCTTAGCTCGAGCAACTAAAGCACAGAAATGTTTTTGAATGTGTAACTCCTATGTGCAAATATACTGTTGTATTAATTTGTTCAATATGGTAGACAGTAAGCATCTTTACATTCATGGCTGAAATATGTCACCTTTTTTTAATCTAAAAAAGGCTCAAGTCAAAGCTTAGTATCCAGTCAGTATTCATTATCTAATTTCTGTCCCATTCGTCCGAACTCTCCACATTCACAGATCTGAGGAGCTGCAATGGCTTTTGACTTTGGGCACTACTAGAATCTCATCCCCATCTCGAATGCTGTAGGAATGGAGGGCCCGGGAGCCGCACTTCAACTCCTCAGGTCCCAAGACCGAACACATCTCCCGTTGGATATAGAAAAGCCGGATCCCATTGGTGGGCAGCTGCAGCAGGGTTTTAAGGTGCTTCTTCAGGTCGCCCACCGTCTGCTCCAGACGGAGGCTGATGGCCTCCACCCTCTCGCCACAGCGGACGTCCACCATGGTGCTGCGTGGGCTCAGGTCCACTTCTGCCAGCGGTTCCAAGTGACCATACTTGGATACAAGGATGTGGTACCTGGAAGGAAGCAGGGCTCATGTCAGATCACTGGAGGGCTTTATTCCACTCACACACAGTTTTAAGGTACAGTTCACGCAGTGTAGGGCTGAGCACCTCTAAATCATCTGCTGCTGTCTCTCACTCTTCTCTAAAAACTATTTGTGTCTATTTTAACAAGTCATTTACTGTTTTGGTTCGTTTTGGAACAGTAAAATAAAGTTATGCAACATGAGGTTAGTAAAATAATTAGCAAACTTTTTAAATTTTTTTTATTTACAAGAAAACCTCTGCTAATGGAAAATAAAAGTATCCTGTCAGATCAGATGAGTATGTTCCTGCTAGCTGAACAACGGCACCTACAATCATGATAAAGAGAAATTCATTTTATAAATGTCAATCACTATTGAAAAGTTGCTTCTCTTTTGGAAAAAGCTGTTCTGTAAAATTTCTGATCAAACTCTGATCAACTCACATCAATTTCAGGCTTAAATTGACAATATCCAGTTAGTCCAGCCCACTTCTGGTTTAAACACTTCATGAACTTCAGCCAAAAAGGTTTTGTGCTACATTTCAGCTTTCTCCTTGAATTTCTAGCATTTTTTATGAGCAAATTAAAAACAGATCATAAAATCAGGTAAACGGAAACTTGGCTTGTGTGCGTTTAAGAGGCACAGAAACACTGAGTTCTCTGCCTCTCTGCCGTGAGAAAGCTCTCAGCCACCTCAGGGGAACGCGTGTACAAGATAAGGACCCAGGAACGATTAAATAAAATCCAGGAGAAAAGGGCCTGTGCTTTCAAAGCTACTGTAACAGCTGGGCCAATCAAAGCAATTTCCCTTCCCTCCCCAAAACTCCCCCACAAAGCCAATCCCCTGGCCTGGGGTTTCTGGCCAAAACCTGCGGTCCACCCTGGGAATTCTCCTCTAAGGCCACGGTGCACAAAGTGCCATTCTAAGAGAAGCCATTTAGCTAAAAGGCTTCATTTAAGGTGGTAAGCATGGTATAATGGGGCAAATAATGCTGCAGGTGATAACAAGTCGGCATTCCAATTGTCTTTTCCAGCATTCTTCGATAATGGACAGTAAAGTAGCAGCAGGAATAACAGCTTTTGGGGCTAATAGAGACACTATCTGGCCCAGACCGTAGCTGACTTCTCTTTTGGTGTTTCATTCTACCTCATTATCTAATTCCTTCTAGCTGAAAGACGACCTGCTTAAAAAGTTAAAATGTTGATTTCCCCCCTTTCCTTCCCAGATTGGCCCTCAATATCCACTGTTCCAGGTCCAGTCCCCTCTCAGGCCCTCTGTACTTATTGCACTGGATACTCTGACTCTCAGATTTCTTTTTCAACCTCTCTTTCACTCTTTCCTTGCAACTAATCCTTCCTGTCCAGCCAACACATTTCTCTCTTTATATTGCTCTTTCCTAGTCCCACAACCCCTAAACCCTTTCCCAGAATACCCACAATTCTCTGTACATGTTTTTTTTTAGAGATCACTGAGCTATATCAGTCTGATTTATGGTTTGAGATGCGTTTATAGTTACTCAAAGCCAGGCCAGTGTCAGATGTGTTCACCTGAGAGGCTGTGACCCACCCTGCAGCGCTCTGATCTCTCAGGGTAGCAAGGCCACAGCCCCATCCGAAAGGAAAGGGGATAGTGGTGTGTTCACTGCTTACCGAGCGTGTCCGACACCCCCATAACACCCACACGCAGTCACGGCGATCCCTAACCTCGGACCTACACACTGAGAACCTGGCTCCAAACCAAGACGTTTGAACAGAACAGAAAGTAAAGAGTTGTGTTGGTCTTCGGTTGTGGCCAAGTACGATCGCACATGTGACGTGGTTTACCAAATACATCTTTGATCTTCACATATTTTTCTTTACCATAATCAGGAAGAACGTTCCTAGCCAGGCGTGCGATTCCAGCTCCAGCGACATCAGAAAAATCAAACAAATCAATCTCTCAACTTAAAGGTTGAGGTTGATAGAGTCGGTGTATACATAAAAAAAAAAAAAAGATCAACCTGCTACCTTGTGTATCACTTTTCCAATCAGAGAATTCCCGGCACAAAGGACTCATTGAGCAGGGAGAGACTGGTGGCATTGTCTCCCAAAGGTTAGTTTCCCCCAGTCAGGGACTACACCTTCCTTCACAAATCCCTCTCCAACATTCTGCTGAGGTTAAGTGGAATGCAGTCGGAGAAGAGCGTGGGCAATTATTTGACCGCTGTCAGCCCCCCCCCCCCCCCCC